CCCGGGTGTATTTTTTTAAAAAAAATACTACCCCACTCGGGCTTAGGGCTGGGCCTACAGGTATCTGATATTTATTAACTCACCATATGAACACTTATTATAGTTGTTGATATATTAAAAATATTGAACATAATGCTTTATATCGCATTATTTTTACTATAAACAAATAGTTATTTTAGAACAAAAAAAGAGAGTCATAGTAATTTTTAACGTATTTATTTGAGCTTAAATCCAGCTAAATTAAAATAATTTAAAACTAGAAATGAAAAATATTAAAATAAATACCTAAAAATTAATTTTTTAATTATTTTCAAAAAATTGTTTAAATTCAAACAATAAAGTAGAATTATTCATTTTAAAATAAAACTTTTAATATTTTGATTGAACCTCCCTATAAGTATGGAACTATCCTTTTTTTTTTTGTTTAAACCTTTTTAACATTTGATCTGACCTCTTCCTTTCTTGTTCCAATCAATTCTTTTTTTGACTTGACTTTCCCCGTTTTGATCAAACGTTAATCTTTTTTAATCGAATCTTTATCTTTTTACTTTTTGATTGAAACATTTTCTTTTTTTGTTGGTCCTCTATAAAAATTATTCGAAATTTGATTTATGTATTCTCTAAATTTTTTATAGTACAAAAATAAGTAAGATAGTGTATTATATATACTTTGTTTCATTTTAAATTCCTACCAATAGTGGAGTGGCAACTCTTGAGTACCCCCAGTTTACCTCTCTAATTTCTAAAAATCCCTCATTCTTCTTATTTATTATCATGTTATAATTATAATATATTTTACAATATTTTTGTTCGAAATAATTGACATACAATAATAATTACAATATTTTTTTAAAAAGCATTCTTTTATTTGTGTTTTTTCTCAATTCACAAAATATAAGGGAAAGAAAAACATAATTGGCTTTGGCAATTTTACGAAATTTAAGAGAGCATTTTATAGATGATTTCTCATTTCTTTTCTTGTTTCTTTCTGATTAATCTAAATTAATTTATAATATTTAAAAATAATATTTAAAAAAATCGAACCTATATTTTCGCCGATTATTCTTTATAAAAATTCTGGTTTAATAAATTTTATTTTGCTTTTAACAAACTATTTTTAAAACTTCTGTCCAAAGGACGCACTCATTTCTTTTCAAAAAGCTTCCCTAGGCTGAACAAACGTTCCACCGGAGAACTTGGTGTAAGGACAATATTATATTTATTAAAATGTAATAATTTAATCTTTTTTAAATTAATTCAGGTGATGGCCCAGATATATCTTTTAAATTTCACAAAGGTGGCATTTTGATATGGTAATGTTATATGATATCTTATAATCATTCTCTAAATGAAGATTTTGCTGCCTCTTCGGTTGCTACTAAGTTTAATGTATGACAAAAACATCTTCAGTGCATGTGGAGGTAGTCAAACATTTTAATTATTCATAAAAAGTTAGTTTCAATGAATAATTCTATAAATCGTCGGCCTAGAAGAGTGCTCCACTTGCGCAAATGTTTAAAATGAGAAAATCAACATTAAAGTTTATAATCAAATAGAGAAAAAACTTATTGATAAATTTAATTAAAAATAATTTAATTATAAATTTCAGAGATAATTTATCATATTGTTAATTAATTATAGCCTAAAAAATTTTAGGTCAAAAAATTTAAATATAAAATTTATCTGATAAAATCAAAATGCAAGTGAAGCAAATATAACACTTAATGATTCTTTTTTGATGTTCAAAATGCTCCATTTACATTTTTTTAATTAGAATTTAATAAATATATTCAAAATAATAACTTCAAATCAGAAATTAACACTATATCTTAATTTTTTCCAATTTATTAGTGTAATAATGATCTTTAACAAAAATTCATGATAATTCACCATATTTTTTAGAATATAGATCATAAAGTATTTTATAATTGAGACTTCCCTAATACTTCCTTGAAGTGAAGAATCTTTTTGCCTATAATGTGAATAGACTCTTGGAATAGTGTTTATGTGATCAATGATGAAATCTTTATCTCCATCAGAAATAACATTTTTAGTATTTTTACCTTTTCTAGGAGATAAATCAGTTCCAGTATTTTGGCATAAATTTTTAAAGAAATAAATAATATGTTTATTACTTATATCAAGTGTTGAAAGAAAAATTATCTGCAAACTCTAACTTTAACATTCTCCACTTCAAAAAATATAAGTATGAATTGGTTTTACAATTTAAAAAATCTTTTTCCCTTTTCTTACATGGAATCCTAAATAAATTTTCTATAGAAAGATCTCTTAGCTTCATCAGCTAAGCTCCAAAAAATTACATAAATAATTTTATTCTGATCTTCATTGACTTTTTTATGACATTAAAATATACACTTAATCCTTGCTCTTTTCAAATCAACTTTAATATTGATACAGGTCTCCCACTTTCCCTTAGTCTTTTTCTTTCATTTGCTTTGCTTCAAGAAGTGAAGGGCTAGGTAAAGTAAAAATAATAAGATTCCTTAATTCAATTTTTATATCTATATTTAATGAGCAAGTAATGCTTAATCATGCATATGAAGCAAAAATAACATCGTTATATGCAAATAGCGCGATATTGACAGAGTTGTAACTTTGGCAAAAATTAATATTTTTTTAATCTAGTTTTTATTTTTATGTATATTGGGAATAAATAAGTTATTATCTACTTCTAACTCAAAAATTTTGAAATAGTGGAGCACTTAATATTTTAGTGCGACAAATTATTAAGCTCTTCGATACTGAAATATAACTTTTTTAAAAGGCATTACATTCAACATTAATTTTGAATGTTCTACAACCTTCGCTATGTAAAATCCAAAATATTTTCCGAAGCTTGACAATAACGAGTCAGAATATTCTACTGTGTAATGGCGTAGCCACTTCCCCATCCTTTCGGGGAAATTTGCCTTTTCTCGTAAATTCCATATTAAGCTAATGGAAAAAAATTTCCCACTACACATCCCCACCCCATCTTCTAAAAAATGTATACAATTAAACAGGAATTTGATATAAAAATAAGTAAAAGTTAATAAATTTTTTAAAATAATGGTTATAATTATAAAACTTTTAGAGAAGAGGTGATATACCAAAATTATTTTATAAAATTATAACATAGACAGAAACTATTACAAGTGTACCTAAAGTAAGATTGTTAAAAAACCCATTCGTTTAAAAGCGACCCAATTAAGATTTTAGCCAAATTTATATTATGTAAGCCTGGAGATTTACCTATTTACCAAATATCAAGGCATACATAATATTTTTTTGGCTAAAATCTTAATTAGGCTCTTTAACTACCCTAACTTAAAGACCTCTAGTAAAATTTATGGAACAAAAATCAATAATAATGCCCACCGCCTAGCAAAATCACGGTACTATAATTATTTATCTGTCTGATTAGTTATAAATATTAAATATGGAAAGGCGTTCATACATAATCAGACATTCAATCAAAAATTTTAATTATAGGTTTCATTGCAAATGAATTTATTATAATATATTAAAAATAAAATTAATTATTGAATATATTTATAATGATATATATATATAAATAAATAGTTACTTTGGGCAATTATATTCCAAAAAATATAACTAGTTACAGTTACTAGTAACAAATTCGAATGTAACTAGATTTATTTTTTTTGCAAAAATTACCAATATAGTTACAAGTAACCAGTTACTTTAACAACGCTACTTTTTCATATCAAATATATAAAAAAAACATTTAATCTTCTCTTTTTTAAAAATGAAATTTCAAAAATAAATAAATATGATACTCTTCTAGCTTACTTGTGGATTGAAAGATCGAATATGTAGACTTAGGCATATCACAAATGCTATCATGTAAATAATATATCCCAATAACATGAAGAAGAAATATTCTTTTATATCTTTGTATAATCAAATATTATTTGTTTATTTTATAATATTCCTAATTATAAAATTCCTTAAAATATTATTCAAGTGTTAATTGCCTCTAAATGCTATTACTCTAATTATAATATTATTTAGAAACGTATTTGTCTCTTAATATTCAAATTATTTTTATATTTGTTGATATCAACATTATAAAAGTTTTATATATACTTACTTAAAAGCCTGTGTCTAAAGCATCAAAATATTAAAGTTTAAAACATTATATAAAAATATGTGAGAAACAGTTATTTATAATAGAAAATAAAATGATAGCCTTTTTAAAATTTAATTTTAACTTTCGTGTTCCTTAAGTTTTAAAACTATGTCTTTATTATACAGTTTTTTTCTGTAAATTATGAAATTATATTATATATGTAAATAAATTATTAAAATACTAAAAAAAACCTAATAAATCGTTTAAAAAAATTTATTATTTTAAATTATTCACCGAATCCTATTATTACAATATTTAATATATAAATCTTCTTAAATTAATTAATATAAAATTGTTCATTTTTTAAAAAAGATATATTTGCTATTTTTTGATTTTTAAATGCTTTATTTAGTTTTTACATATATTTATATATTTTTATATTAGGTTTTTTAGGTTAAAAAGGCACTAAGAATAAGACTAAAAACGGAATAAAATAAGTGCACCAAAGTAAATTTAAAAATAATTTGTTTTTAGTTTTAAAAGATATTCAAAATTTAAATTGAATTTAAAAAATGATCCATAAATAGGTTTAATAATTACAAATTAGTTAAAAATGTTCACAAACGTTGTTAAAATTATCATTAAAGTGATTAAAATAACCTAAAAATTAAAAAAGATCAATAAATGATTCAAAATAATTTAAAAATTGATTAAAAGTGATCAAATTTGGTTAGAATCAGTAAAAATTTGTCCTTTTTTTAAAATAAAATTGACGCTTTTGCCATTAAATAATACTTCTTTAGACGAAAGGGATATAGGCAAAATGTTTTAGGCAAAATGGGGAGAAATGTATATAAAATTCTAATTCTCAATACTTGATAATTATTTCATATGCGAGGAAATATATCTAAAGTTTTTCATAATTATTACCTTCTTGAATCACCAATGCCGGTTTAACTATATGATATTTTTTTTTAAAATAAATTACAAAAATGATACAATATAGTTAAATTATTCAATTTCTCTAATAATTCTGATGAAAAATTGCGAATGGAAAACGAATATCTTAATCTTGTATTTGTATTTTTGGAGACATAATTAAACGTTAAACAAATTGTGAGTAATAGCCTAGAGATAGAGAAATGCCGCATTTTGGGGGAAAAGCAAACAAAAAAACAAAGGTTATTTTTCTCTTTATTTTTTACTTTCTTCAATTTTTTTTAATGCTATTAATTTTTATAGGAAATATAATCTACCAATATTTATTGCAATTTCAATATCACAAACATCTTTAAATTAGTTATCTGCACCGGGCCTAATTTTTCAAGCCCGGCCCGGGCCTACTTTTGCAGATCTCTACTTTAAATATAATCCATAAATATTTTGTTGAAATTCATTATCACAATCCAACTCGATCATTAAATTGAGTTTATTAAAAAAAAATATTAACCATTTTATTCGGGGTCCTGGGACTGGAGGGTTTAAATAATGTGTAAAAATAAATGTAATATGTTCTTTTTGGAAATTCATTTATTAACCACTATCTGATCTTTAAAAAAGGTAATTTTTCCCTTAACTTAGATCAGATTGATTAAGAACATAAAAATTAAATATTCTCTTATTAATTTTTGGCAACCCTTCTTACTGCATATTATGATTTGAAATAACCTTCTAATTTGGTAAGAAAATTTCTCAATAATGTTGAGGTAAATAATTCGATAATTCTCAAATATGTTTCTTATCTAGAAGTTAAAAACCTAAATTTTGTGTTAGCATCCAGAAAATAGAATCGAATATTCGAATTGTAAACACGAATAACGAATAATTTAATTTTTTTTATAAAAACTAATTTTTTAAGATATTTTATAAATTTAAAAAAGCTATTCTTTTGGGCACAAAGTTTTCCTAATTGTATCTTCTTTTGGAGACATGCGATTTTTTGTAATCATCTTATTTATTTCCTATAAAAATTGACAATACAAAAGATGTAGAGAGACCTTATTATTTCATCTACTTCTGATTATTGCATATTATTACAATTTATATTTGTCTTAATTTAGTTTCGAAAAATGTTAAACAAAAATTACTATCACAATAAAAAAAATGATATTGCAAGTGCCAGAAAATATTAAATATTTGATTACAATAGCTTTAGTTTAACAAAATATTAATAATAAATATTTGCAAATTCTAAAATTAACGAATTTTCTATCGTATTCGTATTCTTGAAAATTTTGATAAAAATCGAATGGAATATCATATAGTTTTCGATAGGCCAAGTTTGTGTAAATTTTGAACAAATAATATTATATTATGATGCTCACCGAAAACACTTAATAGAGTAGATTTTACAAAATCATTTTCTACCATATAAAAGTTATATATATTTAATTTAGTAAGAAGGAAAAACCTTTCAAACTAATGATTCCTAATTTTTCGTTATTTCGACCATTCCAACACGAAAATTCTCCAGTATCTCCAAGGTTGAGAGGTCTGAGGGTCAAAACAAAGTATTGATCGATGTCTATGTATCTTGATATTATATATGATAAATAAAACTACTAGTGTACGATATATTCCTTCCTTCCTTCCTTCCTTCCTTCCTTCCTTCCTTCCTTCCTTCCTTCCTTCCTTCCTTCCTTCCTTCCTTCCTTCCTTCCTTCCTTCCTTCCTTCCTTCCTTCCTTCCTTCCTTCCTTCCTTCCTTCCTTCCTTCCTTCCTTCCTTCCTTCCTTCCTTCCTTCCTTCCTTCCTTCCTTCCTTCTTCCTTTCTTCCTTCCTTCCTTCTCTCCCTCCCTCCCTCCCTCCCTCCTTTCCTCTCCGCACCTTAATTTTGCTTCATTGATTGCGTCACTTGAAGTATCATCAAACGATATAGGCGAATGTCGAATTACATGAGTGCCATTCTGCCATCTAATAGCAAAGGTTTCCTCAAATGTTTCTTCTTCCATCTTTCTTTTAGTTTCAGATAACCTATATATAAAAAAGAAAATAGTAAATATATAGAACTATACTAATAACATCAGTCATTTGGCTAATTTTAAGTGATTACCAATTTTATCAGGAGTAACAAATTTAATAATTTTTAGAGATCCTTATCCTGTGTTAGTGTGTTAAACGACTCGATTTAAGCCTATTTTTAAATTGGTTAACTTAATGTTGTTTTAGCCAGGATCTCGCTAATAGATTTTTAAACTTTTGCGCCATCCATAAGCAAAATCATCAGGCTTGCATAATATTTTTCGTATAAAATATTGAGTTAGACGTTTTTAAAAATCGGCTCCAATTGAGTCGTTTAACAACATTACCCTGTGAAGGTAGAGTGTTTAATTTACGAGAGTCTCACACTTGGTGTGCACAAAATTTAAGCCATGATTTATTTATACAATATATTTTTTAAGCATTCTATTGATACCTATTATCTTTATCGACGTTTAATAAAAAAAACAACAAACTGTAACCATATAGGGAAACCACGTTTGGGCGGCCATTTTATAGATGTATCATGTATCTTCATTGTAAATAAAATTTCTCAATGTCTAAAAAAAATATCTGTACCCTGGACAATATAAATCAATTGAATCTCCTTCTTCCGCTTCAATTTTGAAAGATGGAATTCCTCGTCCTATAAATTAATTTTATATACTAGTTAATATTTTTTAAAAAAATGAATATATTAATGAAAAGCTAACAACATAAATTTAAAACTCTGAAAAAAGTTTAATTGTTTATCTTTACTAGAAGCATTTTTAACTATTCAAATTTTAAGAGTCTAATGAGTTGCCACTTTTTTTTTACAAAACAGCTGGCTAGAAAAAATCAGTGCCATTAAAATATAAACATTAAATTTATCATTAAAGATTTGAACAGGATGTTTAAAGGGATGCGATAATATATATATAGGATTGGAAGAATACTCTTTTTTTTGTTATTAAATTTGATTCCATAAAGATTATTAACTACTACAAGTAAATCTCTAACCATAATTTTTTTGGTTTTAGAAAATTAGGTATAATGAGTTTTAATCTCGCTTAGATCTATCCAAATAATCCATTGAAGATTTAATAAATAATATGCAAAACTTTTTTGCATATCAACGTTAACGTAAGACTCAATCTTCAAGAAACTCGTCTTGGAGGCACTCCCATCTATGGTTTCCTCTTGTATATCTATATCTTGTTCTTCAATATTTTCCGTTGCTTTTTTCCCTTTTGGTTCTTTTTGCTTGGACATATATTTTTTGAGATCTTTTTTTTATTAAATATATTTAAAAAATATATAAGTTCTTTAAAAATAAACAAATTTTTAATGATGTGAAATAAAAATGAAGTAAAAGGGTGAAGGTGAAAATAAAATACATTATATTTATCCATCTAAGGACGTATTTTATTAACGATAAATTAAATGCTGTGCTAATAACTCATTACGGGAGTAATTACTATCCATGATGAGGCCCATTAATAAATTTTTAAAAATTAGGGCATAAACTTCCAAGAACATAACCTTCTCTAATAATTTAACTTTTTGTAAAATTTAAACCTAGATCTAAAGCTTACATCTCAATCTCAAACCCATCTAAAGCTTACATCTCAATCTCAAACCCAAAGCATAGAGCTTGAAATAACAAACATATTAATATTTATGTGTTATATCAGCTACAAATGATGGTATATTTATTTTTTATAAAATTTTGCCCTAGTAAAATATCATTTCTACTTGAAATTTATAATTTCAAACTTGTAAAGTGTTGTGACTCAACGCAATAATTACATACTTGCTTTTTCAATTTTTCACAGGGATTTTTTGATCATAGCTACGATATTATATTATTTATTCCTAGCCTCTTTTGATGAGGGACTTTACATTTTAAAAAACGTAAATTATGGTTGTATTTTACTATAATATTTAAAAAATAAGAACTTGTCCAATTCCAGTGGGCATGAAAATATCACCATTAATTAGCCAGAAAAATTTTATATATAATTTTAATTGCAAAAAGCACAAAATTATTAACATATTCGAGATATATCTCCTTAAAAAATGGGGCCCGAATATATAATTATAAAAATAATTTTTTTTCGGGCTCTTTTTAAACGGTTCTAACTTCATTAGATCAATTTATAAATTTATACATATATAATTCATTTAAAATGACGGTAGGCACCTTAACTGTGATATAAATAGATAGAGATTAGAACACTAAAATAATCAATCTTGATATATTGAATTATTAAATTTAATAATAATAATAAAATATAATCTTTTTTATTTTATAAATGAATTTTTACATCTATTAGGTTCAAGCGTCGTAAGCTGGCAAATCTCTATGCAATTTTCGATCTTGATTTCATTGGGTCTCTTTCTTGCATTATCAAAAGTACCTTTATTTTATTTTTTAATATATAATTATTATATTATTAATAATAAGTAAAAGATAGTATTTTAATCCATATTTTGGAACTGAAACATGAACCCTTTTAAAATTTCCTGAAAACTGAATAGGAACCTGTTCTAATATAAGTAACTAATTTATGTGTACAGTTCAGAATGTTGTGTATAGAGTATTTTTATTCTTTAAATTTAAATATAAATTTTTTTATTAACTGAGTTTGTAAAAGGGACTAGAGCCAATGAATTCCCAGCTTAATTAGTACCTTTTGTTATTCCAATTAGTGTTTTTTTTAAAAAAAAAATTAATTAATGTATCTTTCAATATCAAAACCCATTTTTAAGGATCCATATAATTGGAAGATTTTTATAGAACAAATAGAATTAGTTGTATCTATGAGTGGTATGGTTGAAAATATCGGAAATTTTCAAAATCAATGACTAGTTAGTGTTGTATTATTCAAATTATTATTTTTGTAATATTCAATTGCAAGCATAAAAAATTATATTTTATAAGATAAAATTTCAAACATAAAAAATTATTATTCAAAATTAAGAAAAGGATTGTATTTTATGAATTGTAATATGAACTGATCAAGCATAAAAAAAATATATTTTTGTAAGATGCAATTCCAAGCATAAAAGATGATTATTCAAATTTCGGAAAAAGATTATATTTTAGGAATAGATATATAAAGCATGATAAAAAATCAAAAAAGTGCCATTATGAATTATTCTACGAAATTTTTATATCCGATTTTTTATATTTTTGATAATTATATATTAAATAAATTTATTTTATATTAATCAATTGTGTTTTACATTAATTAGATTTATTATATATAATCTTTTAAATAAATTAATTATTCAGTATTTCTTTCTCTAACACACAACTCTAAAAGTTAACTTGAAAACATATCTATGGGGATTAATTTAGACAAATATTTATGATAAATAAATTTGTAAATTAAAAAAATTGTTATATATGCAATTTAAAATTAATTGCTAATCTTAAATTTAACTTAATAAAAATAAACATTTTTATTAAAATCACCGTTTAAAAATAAATATATCATTTATAATTATATTTTACTAAACTAATCTAGTGTTGTAGACTTTCTTCAAAAATGTAACTCGTTATTTTTATAGTTATTTTTTAAAAAAGCGTTACTATTTCTCTTTTTACTCTTAACATAAAGTATTATTTTAAATTGATATAAGCTAATATAAACTAATTTGCCTATGATTCGGCATTTATGTATCCTTAATTCTAATTGGAAAAAAAAGCTAAATAAATTTTCAAGCGATAAAGTAGAATAATTAATTTAATTAGATATATTCAAAAAAAATCTATAATTTTTTTTAAATTGTTTTTTTGGGGAGAATTTTTTGAAGTCTTTCGTGATAGAAGGCACTGGATTTTTGATTATCATAGTGCTATCATTTCTATGAGCGAAATCGGTTATATCTTTTTTATACATATATTGTTAAAACTATTAACTCGAAAAATGTTTGAAAATGTTGAAGAGTGACGAATTGCAGGGAATTCCACCCCCTCCTTGCACATTATTATCTTCGTAGGTTTTGAGAATTTCCCCGAAAATCTGGTTTGAAGAATGCGCAGAATTTTCATATTTTTCAGTTATCGATTGATTAACGCTAATATTAGTATTTTGGATACGAGAATTGATGGCCTTGACCTTGCACCTACCGAATCTCCTCCTCTCGCCTATAAAATCTTCGTTAATCATCGTGAGATTTGCCCCATCTTTCATTTTTAAGGTAGAAGGTTTACAAATACTGCAGGGGCCCCATTCAGACCAGTCAGAGTATATCATCAATCCATCTAAAAAAGGTTGAAAGGAATGGAGATTATATTAAAATATTACTTTAGAAATTTTCTATAAAGACCACTAACATTGGCATTTTTAAAAGTATAAATCGCAAAGATATATTGCCCAATCATTTATATCAGCCTTTAAATAAAATTGCTTTAACCGATAAAATATTTATAAGGGAAGCCAATTAGTTTGTTAACGTAAGTCAATCATTCTGATATTTTTAAAAAATTCAAGAATTAAACAAGCTATTTCCAGAAAAAAAAGAATCTATTTCTTTAACAACTATTAATTGGTTCAATATTTAATGGCAAGATTTTAAAACAGTAGGGGAGGGGGGTCGGAGCTAAAATACAAATAAGATAAACGACATAAAATTTACCCTGTGTCTGAATGAGATCAAATTTATAAAGAATATATATTTACATTATAAGTTTTTAATCGAGCCCTCCTGGTTTAAAATATTTTGACAAAAAATGATTTTACCAATTTTCTCATATTTTGGAAAAATTTTTTTTAAAATTTTTTGCCCCTGTTTAAAAAATTTACCAAATAAACCCAAATTATACTTTTGATTTTGTATGCAATATAATGCCTAGACCATAGAATAAAAGTTGTTCGTAAATTCTACCTTATATAGAATTGTCACGAAAGTTATATAATATAACTTAAAGACCCTTAGGGTAAAGTGTCAGGGGTGAAGCATACATTAATCAAATGCAAGAAATTTAATTTATAATGATGTCTGTAATATTTGGAGCAAATTATAAAGCTAGAAATTAGTGTAGAATGGGTGATTTGGACTGTGAACCCAATTTGCAAATATTGATAGTCATTATAATACATTCATAATACTATCATTATTAATTTTATTATTGTTTTCTTTCTTGCTGAAATATATAATTAGCCAATATTGGCAAAAGCAGAGACCTGGAGCGAACCGAACCACTCTTTTATACTAAAAAACCTTCATGATTTTCTGAACCATAACTGAAAATTTATACCAAATCGATAAAAGGAGCGAGCCAAACCTATATATTCTCAATCTATTTTTAATCCGCAAATAAAAACAAACATTTTTTATAAAGAATAAAAACTTGTCGATTATTTTATAAGTTTGCAAATTTCAACTAAAATTTTAAGTAATAAGTTTTAAAAGTAATATTCAATTTTAATATTCTTGGGGAATTAATCAAGGCACAGTGGTGGTGTTATTTAAAGGGTACAGTGGGCTTGAGCTTGCTAAAATATTTGGCGAACCCCTTCCCTTCGAAAAATTATTTTATTTATTTTCCTTTTTTATACTAATTTATCAGGACATTTTTGCTAATTTTGAAATAAAAAATTATTTTTTTCAAACAAAATTAGCCCACTGAATTAAAAAAAATTAGCAACGCAACTTTAGTACAGCTACAGTGTTGAGACAATGTTTTCAATAATATATTTTATTTTTTACACTTCCTTTTTTTCCTCAAAAATTCGGTGTATTTATGTAAGCATCAGTAAATGTTATTAGACCTGTCAAATAGTCTTTGTATTTCGGAACAGGACATCTGGTAACTATAATATGTAAAGAAATATTATAATTTAAAAAAAGATTTAATTTGATGTATAACAAAATTCATTTAAAAACCTTTAATATTTAACAAAATCAAATTTAATGTAATCTTTTTGCAATTAAATAACTTTATTTGAGAGGGTAAGGAAATTTTTTATTTCAATAAGAAAATATGCAATTTTTAATCTGATAAAGATGCTAATTTAAAACCTTAAATACATAATTTTGCAGTTTCAATAATCTATATTATATTGACCGTAAATGGTTCGAGTAATCATTTGGCATATTCCACATCCACTTAATTTAGAAGAAAAAAAAAAAAATTTTTTACTAGTATAAAGTATCATAAGAAAGGAAAAGTATATAATATATTATAATTAGAGTTGTAAAATTTCTAAAAATTTTGAACCAGGATAAAATTCCCTGAAAAGGAACTGAGGATGAGGAAATTTGGAAGAAAAATGAGATTTTTAGTTTTTCTTTAAAATCCTTAAATTTGCTGAATTTGTTTTCCCAAAATATTAAATTTTGTTATTTTATCTTAAACAATTATAAAAAAATTTGTCTCAACTTAATGTCAATATTATCGCTCTGAGACTCCGATGTTGTGCTCTATTTAATAAAAATCCTTATTTTTGTAATCATTTAACGTTCATTTTTAAAATATTTAATCTATATTATTCATGCGACTTAATTTAGCGTTTTCGAAAACATCATACCTTTGCGTTTTTATTAATGTTTATAAATTGTTATCAATTTGCACTATCCTTTTGAAATGTATATTGTTTGCGTTTTGCACAATGAAACGCAAAATCTCAATTAGGTCAAACTATAAGGATGTATATACTATTATTATTTTTTACTATAAGAGTAAGGATTCTTTTGAAAGAGGTTATTGTTAGGATAACTAACATTACTATCATCAATCTACCTGTATCATGAGTCTCTTGTAGGGGTTAATTTTATAGAATTAGCTATAATCTGATAATAATGGTAAATGATTGATGAAGGATAATTGAATTTGAAAATGTTTTAATTAATATAAGTAAAATGAAATTATTTAGCCTACAATTTTTTCAGATTGCGTGAAATGACAGGAATTCATCTATGGTATTTCCCTTAAAAACTGGGATTTTTTCCATTTTTTTTAAAACGCTAATTATTATATTTCAAATTTTAAATAGGATAATATAAAATTTTGAGATAAATTTTGAATTTCATATTTTATTCATACTTTCATTGAAGATCTCTTCCACAACGTCTAAATGGTAAAATATTTTGAAATGAGAGACCTGCTTGTTCCCTGTTTTATTAGTAGAGTTAATAGAAACATCTATATCATCATCCCTTATGAGATAATCAGATCGGTCCACCATATCTTTACAAAAGTAAGTCCCAGCATCTATTTGGCGAAATTTTTTGATTGTCAACGTATGGCTATCTGCGATTAAAATAATTTGAAACATTTCTTAAAATCCTGGAAAATTTATTTGTGTTGTCTACTGATTTCTCAAATAAGTAATAATTAACATACAAGCTTAATATCTAGAAAATTTTAAAGATTTACAAATACCAATTTTTCTCCACTTATATTAGAGATAATTGTTTAAAGAATATAATACATTTAAGTTAAAAGAGATGATAATTGGATATATAAAAATTTAGAAAAATTAATTATCAAAAGACCGGGGATAGTGTGTTCCCGGGGTAGGTATTTCCTTCTCAAATAATTTAAAAATTAATAAAGTTTAAGATTTGAAATTTAAGCCAAATATGTATTATAATAAGGTGCTTAAGTAGGTCCAAAATTGTTTCGGACAAAATTGCTTGAAAAATTTTAAATGCAAATTTAAGTTTCAACATACCCAAAGTAACTTTTTTAAATTTTACATTTTCACGAATAACTTTTTTATAAAAGTTGTTCAGACTTAATATAAATTCTAAATGATAAGAAAATCTCCATTTTATCATATATAAAAATATTGACAATCATTATTTTAATTTAATATTCTAAATTTAATTTTTAAATGATTCTGTGTACCTGGGGAAGGTATTAGCGGGGTGCGTCTTTTACTTTTACATACATTCATTAAAATATTGGTTCTGATTTTGTAAAATGGTTCGAACATATATTAGAAAAACTAACAAAGAAAATAGATAATCAAAAGGCAAGTATTCTTCAAATGCTGAAAGATAAGATACCTTTGACAGTTATAACCATGAATACGAATTTAAGTTATGGGAGGTATATTTATATATTTAAATTAGTATATATTTAAGAAACTAAGCATTAAGAGGTTTAATAAATTGTTCAAAAGGAATGAAGATTTTAAGAGCGATATCTTCACAGATCAGTATTTTCTCCTATTCAAGAAGCTAAATTAACAGATTATTTAATTAAACGACCAAGATTATTTTCAGGATTATGCCCTAAACAAGTATTTTAATCCTTTGTTATATCATATATCTCTGTAAAATGAATTTTTATATAATCTTTAAATTTATGCCATGGTATTTCTATAGTGATACCAAATTTTATTATAATTTTAACTATTTTTTATATTTTGTACCGCAGTATATATATCTTTTACAAAACAAACAATTAATCGTCGTGCACAATTAATAATATGTATCAGAGACCTGCAGGCCCGGCCCTAAACCCGGCACGGGCCGGGCCGTATATTAAATTTTTTAAATATACCCGGGCCGGGCTGGACCTAAACAATTTTTTTTAAACATATCCGGGCTGGGCCTAAAATTTTTTTTTAAAATATATCCGGGCCGGGCCTAAGATTGTTAAACCCGGGCCGGGCCTTAATATTTTTTATAAAAATTTTTACATTATGAGTTAATGGTTATAAGATTATATTATGTTATAGTTATGATTAATATAATATTGGGTGATGGTTGACACTACCTAACACCCACAAATCGATCTAATTATTAATTTCCTGCAAATTTCTTCAAAGTATTAATATATTTTTTTATAATTCATATCTAAATTTTTACAACATATTTTACCAAAACAATCAAATAAAGGAATATCTTAAATAAGCCCCAATATTCAAGTATTCTTAATATATTTTTTTATAATTCATATCTAAATATTTAGAATATATTTTACCAAAACAATCAAATAAAGGAATATCACTTCTTGAAGTTTTTCAAAGCGAAAAAGGAGAAATAAAATTGATTTTACTTAATATAAAGCATTTTTTAATTGAAAAATTTGTTTTACACAAGTATCATTTTATTTCTCTTTTTCCCTGTCCCAAATTCAAGCAATTACGTATGTAGTCAGGGACAGATCGCAAGATGACGGAAAACTATATAAAAGATTATATTAAATTACAAGAGGCTCAGGAAGTAAATGAAATACCATCGACCAGTCAAATTACGACTGTTGTTAAACAAACTGTATCGTTTTACAAATGGGGCGATGGTAATTCTGGTAATATGTCAATACCCGATGATGAATATTATAATTATATAAATAAAAAAATAGATGAAACATTTAAGGTGGATGATTTGTTAGAGTGGTGGGCGGCTCATCAAAGCGAATTTCCAATTTTAGCAAAATTGGCAATTCCTGCTACAAGTGCAAGCTGTAAGCGGAATTTTTCCACTACGAGAATTCTTAAAGAAAGAAGAAGTAATCTTCAACCTGAAAAGGTAGATATGCTTCTCTTTCTTCATGATAATTTGTGAATTTTTAATATCTTTCTTGAGTATAGGGTTTCGTCAATCATGCTGGTTTTTTACTTTGCAAACTGTCAAATATTTATTGCATTTATTTTATTTACCTTGAGTCATGAAAGTTTTTAATCCAATATTTTTCATTATTTTTTTTACAATATTATATAATACAATTATCTTCTTTTGTTAAAAATTTATATTATAAAATAAATTATATTAATATTGTGCAATTAGATTATATTTTCAAAATACTATTTATTATACATGCATTTTTTTAAATAGCGATTTATTTTTATTTTATAAATTAAATAGTAAATTAAATACAATATATTATATTCTCAAAATATTTTCCATTTTTTAAATTAAATATTAGTTTTATTTTTTTTAAATGCAATATAAAATATAGTATATGCTCAAAATATTATTACCATTTTTATGAATATTAGTTTTATTTTTATAAATGCAATATAAAATATAGTATATGCTCAAAATATTCTTTTTTATAAATTCAATATAATATTCTCAAAATATTAGCTTTTTACATGTATTTTTTAAATAATAAGCGATAATACTCGCTGAAAAATATGGTAAAATACTTCATAGGTGAATTTTTGTATATACCAGGTCGAATATAATTTTAAAAAATTCCGACGCCGTACCTGAAATTTTTAAATCCGGGCCGGGCCGTGCAAATGGTACCTCTGCAGGTCTCTGATATATATATTTAAAATTCATCATATATTTAATTGCCTTTGAGGCTAATTGTTTCTATTACATCTATTCTCTCCTTTTTTGGGCTTTAGATTTGAAACGGTATAAATTGTTTTCTTATCCGTTTTGGATAACGGCTACTTGTACTTTCGTTCTCTACCACCGTTTGCTCATTACTGTCGATTTCATCTTATCATTTATGATGGTGTCTTTGGTCACCAATTCGTGTATAGGATCAATGTCTTTGGTCATTGAGTTTTGTATAGGCTCAATGTCTTTTGCTATCGAATTTTGTATATGATCATTATCATTCATTTGTGGTGTAGTTTGCATCGTTTCTTCTTCTCTTCCCTCCTCTCTATTTTTTAAATCGGAGTTGTCGAACCTATGTTTTAACTGATTAATATGTCTTCTCCATACCCCTAATTTAGTTTCAACTAAAAACGTCATTGGTCCTGTTCTTTTAACGATGATACCTGGTATCCAATTATCCTTTTTAAAATCTATTGAATATATTTTTTCATTTATATTAAAAAAACCTGGTAACTTGAGGTATATATGGATGAGGATAAATTGGTTTTATTAATTGTAAAGGTCCTATGGGTTGAAATTTAAGCCATTGAACTTGGTGATTGTTTTGTGGTTATTTGTGGCGTATTTCGATAATTAAACAAAAAATCTTGTATTTTATTATAATCATTATGTTTTTTTAAAATTTTTTTAAAAGTTTGTACTAACCGCTCCGCTTCTCCTTTGGTTTTAGGGTGGTATGGGGCACTATATACATTTTCAATTGATAATTGTTTGCAAAATAAACTAAATTGTCTACTTTGAAATGGGGGGCCATTATCCGTAACAATCGTATTGGGGTAACCGAAAATAGCAAAAAGTCTTAACAATTTTCTTACTTCAGAAAAATTATTCGTCGTCATTTTTTATATTTCAGGCCATTTACTAAAACTATCTATTATTACTAGATATATATCTCCGTTAATTGGTCCGGCAAAATCTAAATGAATTCTTCCCCATGGTTTATTTGCGGAGGGCCATTTCCCTATGATCGTTTTATTGCCAGGATTATTTGTTTGACATAATTCACAATTCTTACCGTGTAATTCGATATCCTCGTTAATATTCGGCCACCTAACGTTCTCTTGTGCTAATAATTTTGTTTTAGTATAACCCTGATGCTCCATATGTAAAAAAGACAAAATATTTACTTGTAATTTTTTTGGAATTATGGTTCTTAATCCCCATAATATACACCCTGCCTCCATCGTGAGTTCATTTCGGCGCTGAAAAAACGGTTTTAGATTTTCCTCTATTATCTTTGGCCATCCAGTTGTAAGGTTACGTGAAACCTTTGATAATACCGGGTCATTTCTTGTGTGTGCTTTTATATCTAACGCTGAAATAAATTGTGGAGCATCCGATACTATTAAATTAATATCTAACTCTTCCCAAGCAGATGGTTTACCGTCAATTGGAAACCGGGAAAGCATGTCCGCATTACTATTTTTTTTTCGTCCCTCGAAGTTGCAATTCATAATCATAATTTGTTAGTAATAATGACCATCTTACTAATCTTGATGACATATCTGTTATTCTTTTATGTGGATTAAGTAGCGATATTAGGGGTTTATGGTCAGTAATGATAATGAAATGTCTGCCAATTAAATATTGTTTAAATTTAATTAATCCAAATATAATTGCTAAAGCCTCACGCTCTATCTGACTGTAATTTCGTTCGGCAGCATTTAATGTTCGAGATATAGTATCCAATCAGGTTTTTCCTCGTTGTTAATGATATGAGATATAACTGATCCTATTCCATGTTGAGATGCATCAGCAGCTAGAATTATCGGGTTTTCCGGATTATAATGTGTTAAAATTGGTGCTTCTGATATTAATTTTATTAATTACAATTGTTTCATTATTTGTCCATTTCCATCGCACATCTTTCCTTAAAAGCCTATATAATGGAGCGGCAATAGTCGAAAAATTATTTATAAATTTTTGATAATAATTTATTATACCGATAAAAGCTTGTAATTCTTTAACGTTTTTAGGTAACGGTGCTTCTAAAATTGCATTGACATTCTTATTTGTTGTCGTAATTCCCTCTTCGCTAACGGTATGACCTAAGAATTCAATCTTTTCTTTAAAAAAAATTACATTTTTTTAGATTTAATTTCATACCGTTTATTTCTAACGTCTTTAATACATTTATCAAATTTTTTTTATGACTCTCAATTGATTCCCTCATAATTATTATATCGTCCAAATATACTGCTACTCCAGGTAATCCCTTTAATAATGAATCCATTGCTTGTTGAAAAATCGCTGGCTCTGAGGCTGCCCCAAACGGAAGTCGTGTGAAACGATACAATCCACTAGGCGTGTTGTACTAACAACTTTTTTGCCTCCTCATCTAGCTCTATTTGAAAATACGCTTCGGATAAATCTAATACTGTATATTTACACCCATTACCTAGTGTGGCTAATAATTCATTAATTCTGGGTAAAGGATATTTATCTATCAAAATATTTGCATTAACCGTTTGTCTGTAATTATGTATGATATATTTTATTATATTAATTATAAAATAAATTCAGAATAAAATTTAAGAATTAGGATTTTAATTAGATTGCCAATATATAAATAATTTAATGTCTTATGTTTAAATTTAGGTTAGAGTTTTAGCTTATCAAATGGCCAAGAGGTATAGTTTACAAGCAAAATCTTGGGAAATAACTCAATCAGCTGATGAAGACTGGTTTGGAGCATTTAAAGAAATCCAACTATTTCTTTGAGAACACCAGAGGCTACAAGTATAGCCAAGGCTACCAATTTCAATATGAAAATGGTTGATTTATTTTTTAATAATTATTTGACTGTCACAAGGGAAAATAACTTTCTACCATGTGATATATTTAATATGGATGAAACTGGTAAATTAAAATATATATGATAGCAAATCTTTAATATTTTCATAGGATTAACAACAGTTCAACGGCCTAATAAAGTTATTGCAAGGAAAGGCGAAAAACAGGTTGGGGCAATTACTACATCAGAACGTGGTACACTTATAACCTTGGCAATTGCTGTCAATGCTCTACGAAATTCTATTCCACCTATGTTTATATATCCCAGGAAAAAATTTTATGATCATTATTTAAGAGATGGCTCTGTAGGATGCGTTGGCGTGTCCAATGGTTCTGGATGGATGCTGGCTGAAGATTTTATATATTTTTTAAATCATTTTATAAAATACACTAAGCCCAGTCAAGATAAAAAAGTTTTGCCTATATTAGATAATCATAAATCTCACCAATCTATTGAAGTCATTGAGCTGTGCTCTGACAGTGGTATAGTTCTATTGACTCTCCCTCCCCATTGCACTCACAAACTCCAACCATTAGATAGAACTGTTTTTGGACCTCTAAAAAAATATTACAACAGTGCCTTGGATGCTTGGATGAGAATGCATCCAGGGAAAAGTTTTACTATATATGATATCCCTGGAGTAGTAAAGGATGTCCTTCCAAAAGCCACCTCAGCTTCAAATATCCAAAAGAGTTTTGAATCCTCAGGTATATGGCCCCTAAATCCTTTAATTTTTAATGACGAAAATTCGAATCCTTTATATTATAATAATAATAACGATCCTAATGAGAATTTAAATTTATCTGAAATTATTTCGCAACCATCTGTCAGTGATAGTCCTGTTCCATCATCTTCTCACTTGGAAAAAGATTTTGCTACAGAAATTATTAGTCCCCATCCAACAATATTTAAAAAAACAACACGTAATCAAATGACTTCAGCCATTTTAACCTCTTCACCTTACAAAAAAATAGCCAGATCTAGGGCTAACTGGAAAAAAAATCAAACCAATTATAAAAAAAGTTTAAATATGAATGCTGGCAAAAAAAAATTCTTTTTAGTGTGCCACAAAAACTATCAAACTCACCACCATAATGAAGATTGGTTCCAATGCCGTAATTGTCATTTATGGGCATATGGATCATGTTGTGATTTTAATCCATTTTTTATATGTAATAAATGTGTTGTATGTTAATATTATATGTTTGTTATGATTTTTATATGAATAAAATGCTTAGAAAATGATAGTCTAAAACATGCCCCACAAAAGGATAATACGTCCCCCGTCTCTTTTTCATGACTCAAAAATTTTCATTTTTTTAAAATTTAAATTTAAAAAAATATATAATATTTTTTTATTAGATATTAATTTCTACCGTAGATAATTATATAAAGAATAAAATAACATCAAAATTATTTTGATAAATTATTTCTCCTCCTTTTCACAGCCTCTCAATTTTTTATGGACAATATAACCCCGGTCTCTCCTATATATATTGCATTCTAGTTAATCATAACTTATTATGTTGCGTTCTTCAGGTTTTTCATAATGGCTAAGTTAAAAGTCCTATCGGGCCTGCATGGGCAACTTATTCAAAATAGTTTTACTGGGTTAGCCAGGTCGAAAGTTTTTTAAAAAATATAAAGCTTAGAATTAGGCAAATTTATATATTTTCCTGCACAATTACTACGGACCGACAACTTGTACGAAATAATTTTATGGGCCGAGTCTATAAATAATTAACGGGCTGGACACCTTTTTGATTTTGAAATTTTCTAAAACCGGTTCGAGCTGGGATAGGCCCCATCAATCTCTAAAAGTATAATCATAACCCACTATTTATGTTTAATATATTTTTTTAAAAGGGTATAATATACGTTAATTGTTGAAATTATTTTTTTCCAAAATTCGATATAAAATTGCTATAAAAAAATTGTGAAAATGTTAATTATATCTATAAAGTTAATTAAAGATATATCTGTTTCCTGTCATTTCCATCTTAGTATTTAATTCATCCATTCTTTTATTTCTAAAGACTTTATTGCAAATAAATTATATAAAAAATGTATAATTTGTGGAAACTGACCACCAAATATAACATCTATAACAGTGTTAAATCGCTCATTTTATACCAACTGTACGCTTTAGCCTATTCTAAAAAAATGAATGAAATCCGTTTCTATGTTGAGTGTACTCAACTTTAAGGTTGAGGCTAATTTTTTATAAAAACTTGGCTAAGCCTTTTTGGAGTTGGATAAAGATAGTGATTTAACAAGGATATCCTATAATAAGTCACTTGGAACTTTCACTATTATCAAATTTATAGAGAAAGGGATACAAATATATAATTTATTTTAAAGGAATAATATAATTAAATTAAAAAATTCATTTAGATGGAAAAATTTGTTATATAAAATTGTAATAATTATACATAGGGAATTCTAATTTTTGTGTAAAATTAACATTAATTGTGTTAGAATATTCATTACCATCGGTAGTAATCCTATTTAGGAATTCGCTGTCGTGCATGTCTAGCTTCAACGGTCCATCTTGGCCTGTTAATCGGTCATATTTGAACCATATGACGTGTTGAAAAGGCTTGGAGCTTCCTCCAGGGAAATAAGAACTTTAAAAATTATAGGTATATAGGAGTTTAGCAAATTCGTAAACTTCACAGATCCAGGTTATTAGAAAATTCTAAATCATCTCTAGCACCCGTTAGCTTTGAAAGAGCATATTTTACAGGAATCGTATTCCAGCATGTATAAAGTACTTACCCTATGAATTTCAAATATTTCATCAAAAAATTTCCCTTATTCTTTAATGATATAAAAAATATATTATATAAATTAAGAATATTTCAAAAGGTTACCGAATGTTGAATATGTTGATCGATGTTATTTTATTATTTATTTTGGCAATTGATTTATTTTATATTATATCAATTTGTATTTAAATTTAATCGGTGAAAATTTTATATTAACATTTTTTTATTCATCAATTTGTATTAGTGATTTTTTTTATTAATGTTTAGAAAAAAGATATATAAAGAGATAAAAAAAATGTAATTGACCTTGGAAAATAAGAATGTAATTTATCATATAATAAAATTTAAATTATTATTTAAAATAAAATGATAATCAATGAAAAATGTGTAATAATTATCTATGATAAAAGTGGAAATTATCCAATTCCAACATGGTGCCCAAGACGAGTCTCGAACTCGCGACCTTCGCGTTATCAGCACGACTCAATAAAGAATGTAAATTTAATGGAAAGTGAGAGTATCTTCGTATTCCAAAGATGTCAGGAAAGCGGTCAAGAGCTTTATGACCATAGAAGACATTTACAATCTAGGTCTAGAGGAAGACACCGCGGAGTCAAGTGGCATCTAGGGAGGGATGAAATTGTTTCATTTGGATGGATCACCTGGAGTACAAGAGGTTAATCACATGGGCAGAGTCAAAAATAGTTACGTAACAACAAAACCCATTCAGGATTCTCACGCACATAGTAAATCTCTTATCAAGAAACCCCAGTTCATCAATGACAATCGCCCCGCACAGCACGATGAACGTTACGATTTACGCTACGATAACGGCCGCGACAAACAATTCGATGGACGGCACAGCAACTTCCACGACAATCGTTTTGATCAAAGCTACGATAATTGTCACTATAACCGCAACCGTTTCGATAATCGCAACGAACTACTATGACGATCGATACAACAATAGCGGGTACAACGTCCATGGCAATCGCCACGACTCTCATTGTGACCATCATCAAAGCCCTGATCGACGGGATGACTGCTATAGAGGTGATAACCGAACCAACTATCTCCGTCGTGGTCAGCACAGACACAACCCTCAAAATATCAATGGTTTTCCGAAATATTCGTCGAGGCCCAACCAGTACAAAAATGACAATAATACTTACAATAGATCTTCTGATTACAAAGATCGTGATTGTCAATTGAATACGAACCATGCTATGAACATCGAAGTAATTGATGATGACGACGACTCAAACACAGACCTTAAAGAATATAATCTGCAGAATTTGGAAGTGTACAATCTGGGGGTCAAGGATACCATATATGACGTGTACAACGTGACAGTGAGCATCAACAACATACCCACGTGGATGCAAGTTGACAGCGGTATCAGGTACAGTATACTTCCGAAGCTGACAGCTAAGACTGTAGGCATAACCGCGATACGTAAGACGGACATGAGACTCACTGGTTATGACGGCAGCGCTATCAAGATATTAGGTCTTGCCAATGTGAACGTTAAGTATGAAGGAAACTCACATACACTGGAGGCCATTGTAGTGAATTGTGATAAGATCCCCCTGTTAGGACGTATGTGGCTCCACACCTTCAACAACATTTTAAAAACGTTCTTAGTGGGTAATGTAGAGAATGATCTCGAGAAGATAATCTCGACAACAAAAAAAGATCTCGAATCAACTTACTCCTACAAACCCAAAATGATCAGACAAGAGAAAGTTCACTTGAAGCCCGATGCTGTGCCTAAGATCATACCTTCAAGGAGAATTCCGTGCGCCAAGATCGATACAACGACTCAGAAATTGGATTGCTGGCTGAAGTACGACAAAATAAACCTTGCTCGAAAGGAATCTAGATGTCCGATGCCATGCACAAGCGATCCGGTTTGGAAATTAGCTAGGGGTTGTCTTTACTTTACCAAGCCATCGTCAGGTTTGAAAAGAAGACTACACCATGAACATGGGTGGCGTATTGCGTGGTGATCATGAATGTTAATGACGTTACCACTCAACTTATCCAAGAAAATCATAAGACGAATTTCTTTGGAGGATGGAATGTTGAATATGTTGATCGATGTTATTTTATTATTTATTTTGGCAATTGATTTATTTTATATTATATCAATTTTTATTTAAATTTAATCGGTGAAAATTTTATATTAACATTTTTTTATACATCAATTTGTATTAGTGATTTTTTTATTATTGTTTAAAAAAAAGATATATAAAGAGATAAAAAAAAATGTAATTGATCTTGGAAAATAAAAATGTAATTTATCATATAATAAAATTTAAATTATGATTTAAAATAAAATGATAATCAATGAAAAATGTATAATAATTATCTATGATAAAAGTGGAAATAATTCAATTCCAACACCAAAAATTGTCTATTTACAGGATAGGTACTTTATACTTATTGGAATATGATTCCGGCATAATCAGGTCTTTAAAGTTAAACAACTCATGCTATAAATGTCTTAAATTTAGAAAATTTGCTAATAATTCAGATTTGCTAAACCCCTTATGACATATATGCACATATTTATTTTTCAATGATTTATATTTCGAAATGATAAAAAGGGAAACTGATTTTGTAATAAAATGATGATCAACACTTTTTACGATGAGTATTAGTATAGTATGTAATCTGACCTAAGTATAAATTTAAAGTTAGTATTTTGTTATGGTTAAATCTGCTATACGGTCTAAATTTAGACGAAATATCATCAGATTGGTAAAAACTAATTCAAAGAAACGAATTTAAAATATAAAAGGGACTTAAAAAATAAATGAATAAAACCAGACACAATTAATATACCAGATATGGCACTCCAAGTTAACTTCAGAACCAACTGTGACAATTCTGGCCAAGTTAAAATGTTTTTTAAAGCTTTGAGGCTTTTTCAATTTTCTGAGATCTGTTTTACAGATGTAATCGTATGCTTTTATTTATATACAATAGAAAATAAAAGCAAAATATATTATTTTTTATTTAGCGATTATTTAAAAGGTCCGCCATGTTCAAACATATATAATATATAAGGAATTGGATTGTAGTGGAGTGAAATCGAGGGTTGGTTAACATAATTTTGGAACTAACTTAAAATAAGCCTTCCATTTTTTTATCACAAGCTTATTATATGTTTTTTAGGGAAATGCATGCCCCAAAGTGGAATTTGAACGTTATTACTTACACTTATTATACTTATTTATTTAAATTCCTACCTAATACTGTGTCCAAAAATTACTTTAAAATTTTAAATTTTAATAAAATCGTTTTAAAATTCTTTAAATTTTCTAGAATTATATTTTGAACATTATTTTCCCAATGTTTTTCTCTTTTTTAAAATAATGTTTCGAAAGTTTGCCAATTTAACTTTTTATATATTTTGGGCACACTCTAAATAAAGAATCAAGGCTAAGGAAATGAAAGAACTATTAATTATATGAAACTTCTGCATTAAAATATTGTAATATGTTTCCTTTAATAATCTGAGCAATTCAAAAGGATTGCAACTTAATATGAAATGCTTCAGATGATGAGTCCTCAGGTTTGACCTTATAACATTCAAAAATAGTTTATAATTAGTTTATATATTAATCGATTGAAATTATGTTTTAAATATATTTAAAATTTTATCTTCGAAATGTATGCTAGCATTTGCAAATATTAAGCTAACTTTAAACATGAATCTTAGTTTTAATTGTTCTCAAATAACATAAATTTTCTATTATTAAGATGATAAAATATAATTAATTTTACTCCAATATCTGGATAAACTTCCAAAGAGCAAGAAAAAATGGATGTTATATATTATTGCCATATATAGGAAATATATTATTTATCATAAAAATTTCAAATAAATATTTATTAAAGATCATATTATTCATATTCTAGGTATAAAAATATCTTAAGATTCTAATTTTTTTTTAGAAAGAAATTTTATGTTTTTTTTATATTATGTATAAACAGTAAATAAAAAAGAAAGAGATTTTTATTTTCACACCAAAAATTATAATAGGAGTAACTAGATACTTATAGTTTTTTAATAGAACCATAATAAAGCGCATATGTTAATTTTTCTGTTTCTTTCTAAATATTGTCATTAGTTTTCTTTGCATATCACATGAGTTTGATCAACCAGACATGAAAACTTATTGGTTCCATTTTATGGTGATCATTCTCACACGCCTTTCATATATTTTTTACCACAATTTCAAAGCGTGGCTCATCAATTTAATGCCTCTATAATTATCACTATCCTAACATCACTTTTTATTTTTTAGATGGGAACTAGATCACTATTTTTCATTCACACGGAGACCCTTCGAGCCTCTACTATTTTTTATTCATTAAACCTGTCAAATCCTTTATTTTCCAAAAGCTTTGAATCTAAATATTGCAATATAATCAGTCCCATCGCCTTATTTGTCGCATCCTTTTGAGGGCAACAATCACTTATTGCTTCATCACTTCTATACCTCATTTATTTTCTAAGGTCAACCATTTTAATATTATCACATTTTTCATTACTAATAGCCTCGACCAACTTAATATCTACATATCTTTTATCTCCGAGGGTTTCAACCCCTTCCATATCCCAAAAATATATCATATAAATATATATAACTAGGATTCATATAATTGCAATCAAATAAACCATTTATACAAATAATATTAATTATAAATATTCCTATAACAACATCATAATAATCAATATATCAAATCCATAACACTAGCAATCATTCTAGAATCTTACTCCATCTCCAAAAACCACACGACCCGGGTTGATGATTTTTAATTCATCCTCGTTGATAGCTAAACCAAGCTTTGTCAAGGTTCTAACAAAGAAAGGAACAAATCTTTCATTCCGAGTTAGCTCTCGTATATTTAACATATGACTCGATCTATTACTAAACGCATAGCTTGTAGATAATTGCTATTCCTTTTAATTTATCCAATTTTTATTTAATCACTATCAGTTATAAATAAATTGTAGAAATTTATTATTACATTTGGACATCCTTTCCAACCTTTTTAATTGGCTTTTACAAACCGTCGAGCACACGATGATTCTATTCTACCCAGAAGAATATTTTATTCTCGATT